ATATAATTCAGATTTTATTATTTTTCAATTTAGAACTCTCCATTGTGTTCCTACCACATTTAGAATAAAAACCAAAGAATAAAAACATCACCTGGTCTACTACTTCTCTCCATTCCAGCTACCTAGCTCTCCTTCTTTGCATTCCTTCAACATACAAAGCAGACTCCTGCCACTCTCTTTTTACTTGCTATTCTGTCTGGAATACTGTTCCCCTACATATAGAACACGGCATCTTCCCTTCAGGTCTCTGCTCAAATGTTACCTTATCAAAAAAGCCTTCCCTGACTACCTATTTAAAAAAGCACCCTCTATCCCCCTTAGTTTTCCTGTTAGCACACATCTCCACCTGACAAATATTTGTTTACTCTGTCATCCACCCACTGCAATGTAAACTCCTCAGCACAATCTTTATTTCTCTATTCCAGTGAACGAAACTACCGGATGGATACAGAAGTAGGTATTCAATAAATTTCTTGAATAAATTGGCTAAATGAATACAGAGAAACCTGGTAGTGGAGAGAGCCTGAGTTAGGATGTTAGCAACAGGAATAAAAGGAAATGAGGTGAGGGGAAAAAATGCAAGACACATTATAAAGGAAGAATTCATAGGCCTGAGTGACTGTACTGGGTTGAGTGGTGTCTCCCAAATATTCATGTCCACCGAGAACCTCAGAATGTGACCATCATATAGAAAGAAATTTATTTGGTCTTTGTCCTGCGTTTCTAGCACAGAGTTCCTAAAATCCTTGGAATTTCCTGAGTGACAGGAGTGTCTTTTGTTATTCATAGACTAACAATGGATAGTTGTCATCTTTGATTTACATCTTTCATGCTCTACAACTATTGTAAACTCCACATGACACATAGGGAGAACACCAGATGAGGACAGAGGGACAGAATGAAATGATATGCCTACAAGCCAAGGAAAACTCAGGGATTGCTAGCAACCACCAGAAGCTAGGAGAGAAGTGTGGAACAGATCCAGCCTTTGGAGGGAGCATGGCCCTACAGGCATCTTGATTTTGGACTTCTGACCTCCAAGACTATGAAGTAATACCGTTCTGATGTTTTAAGCCACACAGTTTGCAGTATTTGTTACAGCAGCCCTTGGAAACCAATACAGTGACTAGATGTGGGGGAGGGGTCAATCAAAGGTTTGAAGCATAAGTGATAGGAAGAATGACATTCTACTGAAAGAAATGAAAGTTCAGAGGGGAAATTGGCTGTAAGGAATGATTTTAATTTTGATTTTAGTGGTCCAATACAATCACAGGATTGTCAAGTGGATGCCTTAGTGTTACAAGTATTATTACAACACAAAGGAGCAATAGAAAAATCAAAAGAACACTAATACAAGAACCAAACCTGGGATTCCTCTTTTACCACCTTATTGCCAAATTCAATGAACTCTTTTCAGTAATCATGCTAAATGACCATTTATCTTTGATACCTTTCTTTTCCTGTGACTTTTACAACACCATACCATAGCTTCTACCTCTATGACCATTCCTCTACTAAATCTAGTTCCTCTTTCTAAGTCAACTTAATTCTTAGTCCTTTTATTCTTCAGTCATCTCCAAAATCTCAAGGGTCTAATTCTTTATCTTTAATCTGAATTACTGATCTCCATGCTTTACATTCCATTATTTCTAGTTACTTACATCCTAGTTAGGTGGGATGTGCCACCTTCACTTCAGTTCTGACATGTGTTTGGTGGAACTTATCTTCTCTTTCTACTCCAGTTGACATGTGTTCTCTCTCTACTCCATCATGACAACTCCATTTATATCCTCTCACAACTAAAACACTTCATATTTTTTCTTCCTTCTTATTTAGCACCATATGCTATAACTTTTAAAATAATTCTAAAATGTCACCTTTTACCTTCATTCCTATATCACAAGCCCAAATTCCACACTTCTTACCTCATTGTATTAAAATAGCTTCCTAACTGGTCTTCCTGTCTTCAGGCTTTCTTCTCCCTGAACCTGGTCTCAAACTTTAGTGTCCAAACAGATCACCTGAGAGTGACTATTAGTATTCTTTAGGTATTGCATGTATCTTATTTCTCCAACTAGATTATATGGTCATCAAAAGCAGGAATTAATCATGGCTTCTATTTTCCCCTACGTGTAGAATATAATGCTAGGCCACACAACATATTCAACGATATTTTACAACTTCAAGACTACAGTTCATTTTTTTTCCCCAAAAAACATTCATAACAATAATCTAATCAAGAATAATTTCAGAGAAATATACCTTAGAATATAAATAACAAGTTGTCATCTCAAGTGCCTCAAAAGGAAAAGTACAACCCATTGTGCTCAAACCAAGAGATCTCTCTTCATACTCACACTTCAACAATGTATAGAGAAAAATATACCCAGAAGCCAACAGTCACAGAAAGGCATTCCAACTCAAGATACCTGGTCAAGTTTTTCCAAACAAATCAACACAGCAAAATATCATTACACAAAGATCTTACCCAAAAACACTTATCAGAAATGACATAAGCTTTGTGCATAAACAAATATACTCAGATGGCAGTAAGCCATCTTTTCTAGCCTCAGGGGAAAAATAAAGCTGTTACTCCCCAGTTATAAGAATCACACACTAAAGGATTATGATTTCTGCCCTACAGTTAATATTTTCTGACTTGTTTTAAGTCTTACTGCATAACAAAGTTATGATTTTTGTCATGTAAAGAACTTAAAAAGTCTATTGCACTCTTAAGAATTATTTGTGTAATCTTACAGCCAAAATTTTCATTTAGAAGCATTATCTTTAACTTGAATGGGAAAGAGTTTGAATTAAAGAAATTAACTTTATAGTGATTATTCTACCACAAGAAATAAGACCCATATGGGTACAATGAAGAAAAAAGCAGTTAAGTATTTGGAAATCAAAGAAATTGGGAAATTAAAAGAGTAAAAGCACAGAAAGAACACAGGATTAAGAACAGAAAAATATAAATTTTAGTTATGGCAACGAATCCTACTAGTCAAGTTATCTTGGCTACCTACCACTTCAGTTGCCTAATCTATAAGAACTATCTGAATGTTAAAATCCCCCAGCCCTAAAATTATATGTACTCACAGACTTTTTATAGTATTTCCATGTAACATATATTGTCTATTTTCCCACTTTAAAGCTGTAAGCCTCTAAGGAAGTGTCCCACAAGCTCTGGGTCATAATTATTCACTGAATTGAACTTAACAATTTCCTATGACTTAAAATCATAACTCACAGATCTTATTTCTTAAAATGATATGGATATTTCCTATGTTCACACCCATAATTTGGCAGGTATTTCAGTAGAAAAAAAAAGTTCACCCCAGGTCACAATATTGATGAAAGGTTATTTTGCCAGGTTTCTTAAATTATTAGCTCTTCCCCTCTTTCTAGTATACCTATGATTAGCTGGTAATCTCTCTCACCACCGGATGTCACTTTTGCTCCAAAAGAAGTCAACCCAAACTAACCTCAGTAGTAATTAGAATCTGATCTCTAGAATACTTACCTCTAAAACCTTAACATAAACGTTTCTCTGTGAAAGATAAAATCAGCTCTTATAATTTCTACCGATTTTTGGCTAAAATCTGGCTTTAGATGCTTCTAGGCTTCAAACAGTACAAGTTACCATAAGTAAAATTTCTAAGATCATCCCAAGCCATAAAACACTTCACTGAAATCCCATTTAATACCCATAAGTACTCAGTACTTATATGGACAGAAAGAAAAAGAAATGACAGACACAGGGGGGAAAATCAAAGACAGTGTTTGTATCTGAGTATAAAACACTGAGAGTCCCAGACAGTAAATGCTGTTTTCTAATCTCAATGTTATACTACTTCCAGCATTATGGGAAGAGAGAAGCAATATTCAGAAATCAAGAAAGTGGGGAAACAATGACTTGTAGACTTCTCCTACTGTCACTCCAACTATCAGGATGCATTTGGCAGTTAGATCCAGTTACCATAAATGGGTGACTAGAAACTGTGTCTTTGGTTTCCGAATTCAGGATATGTAAATGATATACAGTTCTCTTCTCTTATGCAAATATGAAGAGCTAACCTTCCCAATAAACATACAGACTAATATTAAAGATACTGGTGTGCCTATGCCTAGAAGCGCCTTCCTCTCATCTCAGACCTTCTTGCCTCCCCAAAACAAATGCCCTTACTAATGGAACTTATCAAATGGGGGCATGTTACATCATTTATGGGATTTTTTTACTGCTACTCCCCACCCCCCACTTCCATACACATGCACCAAATCTTGTTGAAAATAAGTGCTGAATCACTGCACCATGAGTCATGGTTATTGATGGGGCCATGCTACATTCCTTGGGTTTTCTGCAATAGAAAAGAAGTTGTAAACCACTGACTTAGATGAATCATCTGATTACATTATTTCCATGATGCTCTGAACTATTTCCAAGAAAAGTTTTTAGGTTATGGAGCAAATACGCTTGCAAAGTGAAACTTAAAAAAGATCACAGCTGTGGTAACTATAACGGCTGTTTCAGAAGCCGGGGCGGGGGTGGGGGGGGCAACTTTCTCCTGGGGCAAGGAGATACTTGCTCCTTCATTTCTGAGTTGGAAACAAAAAAAGCATTTTAACCACAAAAAGGATGTTACAAACAAGTATTAGTTAAGCATAGCTAAAACGGACCCAATCGCCCTGTAATCTTATTAAGTGCAGAATGAGTTAAATAAGACTTATATGGGCTGGTCTAGAAACTTTATCAATGAAAAAACACCATGGGGAAAATGCATTTCGGCTCTGAAAAACCGACTTGGAACAAGAAATTTAGAAATAAACCTGTTGAGCAGTTTGCATTTTCCCAATTTATCTCTGCAAGGTTGACAGCAAAATGTCACGTTTAAATATCAAATTAAACATACATGAAATCTCAGTTTTAATTACATTTTATTCTCCCAGAATAGTTAATTATATTTTACTCTATAGCAATCACTTTAATAAGAACCACTTGCCTTTTTCTGGGCAATTGCAGCTCGCTGCAGTTTTTCTTTAGCTTGATTATACTTTTCTTCTCTGTCAGTGATACGTTCCTGAAGCTTATGCTTTTCTTCTAACCACTGTATCTGTTTCTCTTCCAAAGTCCTGTCAAAAGAATGTATGCAAAACAGGGAAGTTAACTCTTAAGATTAAATAGATATTATTCCAAGTATAATCAAACTCACTACCTGCTTCACTACATTGTTAAGTATCCAACTGCGGGTTCTCTTACATGGTCACGTATTTGCTAATTCTCTCATTACTGAATACCTCTTGTGAACCAGGCACTGTGCTGACAACAGTGTGTATACTACACCATTTATTCTTCACAATAACCCCTTGAGTTAGGTACTTCTATCATCTCCATTTTATAGATAAGGAAACTGAAGCCTAGAAAATAAACAAATTTGCTTAAAGACTTACACCTAGGGGGCGCCTGAGTGGCTTAGTGGATTAAGCGTCCGGCCACGGCTCAGGTCATGATCTCAGGGTCCTGGGATAGAGCCCCAGGTCGGGCTCTCTGCTCATCGAGGAGTCTGCTTAAGACTTACACCTAATTAACAGCAGGACAAACACTTGATAACCAGCTTTGAACCATGATAACCACCAAGCTATAAAAACTGAATCTAGCATGGGTGATGGGTATTAAGAAGGGCACTTGTGATGAGCACTGGGTGTTATATCTAAGTGATAAATCACTAAACTCTACTCCTGAAACTAAAACTACTATATGCCAACTAACTAGAATTTAAATAAAAACTTGAAACATTAAAAAAAAGCAAACCAACTGGGTCTAATAAAACTGGCTAAAAATCAACCCAGGATTGAAAAATCAACGCAGGATGTTTTCTGAATAAAATTCATATAAATGGTATTTTAAGATACTATAACAACTTATATATTTAAAGTTCTTCTGCACACCTTGCATAATTTTTAGTATCATTACTACATATAATACGGCAGTACAAATGAGATTTATAAAATGAGATATCAGATTTTGTGTCTAAGGTCATACAAGACTTTAAATATTTTAGCTGGGACCAAAATCATATTTGATTAACACTTACTCCAGCTATTTTCTACTACATAATCCTATGAGTAACATTCAGAAACCAATGATAAATTATTTAAATTTGCTAGGCATACTGTCATTACAATTCTTAAGTGCATTTTAATCAAACACTTGGGGATTCCAAGATATAAATTTCTATTTTTTGCAAAATATAAGCAAAATAATTTGGACCCTGTGGAATGTCACAATGTACTACAAACACCTTGCTTACTTTCTTTTCTTAAAATTTGCATGTGTGAAACTATGGAAAGCCTTAAAATATGAAATAATGAGAAACTAAAGGAAAAAAAAAGTTTTATGTGGCAAAGTAACCTTCAGAAGAGAAAATCCAAAAAGAATGTTTTGTAGAAACAAAAAAAAATACTAACATGTTATCAAGACAAAGCAAATACAAAAAAGCAGCTTTCTATCATATCTAAACAAAATTTTCCAGAGAATATAAGAGCTTGAATATCACCAAAATCACCTCCTTGCCAGTTTACTATACACTGTCTACTACTAACAAATTTCAAGGCCAAAAAATAAACAAATAAATGAACTATTAAAAGGAAAAATCCAAGAGATTATAGTTCCAATTTTAGGGAGTTTTGCAAGTCACAGAATTTCTTTTCTGTTCTCTGGCATTCAGAAGAAGAATTTAGATACTTGAAGTGAAAAATGTATTAATGTATTGGTTTACTCAATGACTAAAGAAGTGTTTCTCTGAGGTTTTGCAGAATATCGTGGTTAGGCAGAATTTTAAAAAAGTCTTCTGCCCTAAATGCCTTAAAAAAAAAAAAAATCAAGAGTCCATAAAGCTCATTCTCTAGAAACAAAGTACATTACCTAATACCATTGTACACTGTCAAAGGGTATTTGTAACTAGTTCCCAGAACACATTCAATACTGGAATCATCACTAGAGGAACTACATATAATATAGCAGAAAGAAGAAGTAGTTTGTATATAAAAAAGAGCAAACTCTACTTTTCAACTTCTAGTTGTGCTTTTTCAGCTTGGCTTCTTAAATTTCGGCATTCTTGTTTTAACCTCTCCACCATTTCCTTCAGCATTTGGTTTGAATTCAGCAACTCATTCTCTGACTGTGCAAGCGAGGTCACTTGGCTCTGCAAACTACTGATTTGCTTAAAAGAAAGGAAAGAGAAACATAAGGCCGCATATGTAATACCATATGAGAAAGGAAGAGGATAGTAAGCATCTTCCTTCACAAATGCCCCACCCAACTGATGTGTCCTTGAGGACACTCTGAAATTAAATAACAAACAGCAGCATCATAAGGATCCAATAGTATAGGATCATTTCCTAATAATAACCAGAGACTATCATGAACCAGATTCCTTAGTCTGCCACTAAGTCCTCTCCTCTTCTTCCCAAAATAAGTAGGTCGGAAGAGGTATTGGGAGTAGGAAAAGGGTTATAAGAAGGAGAGGAGAGAAGTGAGAAAGGAGAATCCAACCATTAGAGAGATTCTCCATTGAACTTCCTATAGCCTCCTAGGAAAGAAGAGATTTTAAAAGCACATCAGCTGGGAAAGCTGCTAAGGAAATCCATTCTCCCATTTCCATATACCCTATGATCAGCAACCCTTCCAGGAGTTCTGCTTTCTAAGTAGTTAGGAATCATAAACACAGAAGGGATTGCTCTTACATTGTTTTTAAGTAGTTTCAAAGCATTCCAAACATCCAGCACTGGGCAGAAGAAAGATATTCTAAGAAACTTAAAGAATGGCAAGGATTCCTTGGCCCGTACAGCTATTTATCAAACCATGAAATGTCACTCAGGTTTTTTCTCCATCCTAATTTACCTTTATCTGGGAGTGATTTTTCTCATGAAAAGTAGCTAATTATCTAGTTACAAATTAACAGGCTTTTAAGTTACATCCAAATAATCTTCACTTGGAGTACAGTTATACCTACTTCCTCCATAAGCCATTTTACCAATTAATTAACAAATACTCATTTTCTATTTTTTTAAAAGATTTTATTCATTTATTTGAGAGAGAGAGAGAGCGCACAGTTGGGGGGGGGGGAGAGGGAGAAGCAGAAGCAGACTCCCAGACGAGGAAGGAGCCCAATGTGGGGCTCAATCTTAGGACCTGGGATCATAACCTGAGCTGAAGAGAGATGCTTAACGGATTGAGCCACCCAAGTGCCCCAGCAAATACTCATTTTCTTTCACCTTGTCTTACCTCTTAGCCATTCTCTGAGAAAAGGTGGAAGGAGAGAATCAAGAAGACACAGGACCAAAAGAACCCATTATGAGACTCAAGAGTCAAAAGAAACCAGATTCTTTACTCAATAAAATGAATAAATGCAAAATAATTCCTGCATTTCCTGATGGCAGCGAAGCCAATAAGACAATTGTCATAATAAAGTAAAATGGTATGTCTCAGATTTGTACTTCAGAATAAATTTCCCCTTAAGAACGAGTCAGTCTTTATTTTTAACTGGAGTTGTAAATATTAAATCTGTATTACAGTTGACTGAACAAGCAACTTTCAAGGAGCTTAGTATCTCTCATTATCTAATAAATGACAGAAAGCCCAATGCATATGGTACTAAATAACTTCTCTCGAGTATCAAACATTATGTCCTCCTAGTTGAGACTTAGAAACCACAACTGCATATGCAAAGCAATTCCAGCTAGTTTGCAAGCATAAATCCTAAAAATGGAATCTTCACTACCTCGTAACTTTAAACAAAAAAGAAAATAGAATCAAGGAAAGAACATTCTTCCATGTTTTGCCCATATAAATTTTTCTTAAACCCAAATAACTCTTTAAATATAAATTTCTTTCCATAAATACCACCCTTAGATTTCACATTTCATAGGGATATAACAAGATGCAGCTCATGGAGTAAGAAATAAAAAGTTACAAGTCAATGCTACATGGAACTTAAAATCTAGATGATCTTTCTAATCAATTTTTTAAATCAGAATATTAAAATACTGTTCTTTAAACTACAATTTAAAAAAATTCATGTGGGTCACAGCATATAAAGACCTTAAGGAAAACAGCAGTTAGGAAAAGCAGCTTACTAACTAGAGCTTAAAGAGGTTTAAAAATTTTATCTTTATCAACCTCATCAATACATTATCAATTGTAATGATTATATTTTCAAAATGTGAAATGTGAATAGATTCAAAACACACACACACACACACACACACAAGCAACCTAAGTGTCCATCCACGGATTAACTGATACAGAAGAGGTGGTATATACATACAATAGAATATTACTCAGCCCTAAAAAAGAATTAAATCTTGCCATTTGCAAAAACATGGATGGATCTAGGGGGTATAATGCTAAGTGAAATAAGTCACACAGACAAAGACAAATACCATATGATTTCACTCATATGTGGAATTTAAGAAATAAAACAAAAGAAAAAAAGAGACAAAAAACCAGATCCTTCAATAAAGAGAACAAACTGGTGAAACAGATAAAGGGGATTAAGAGTATAGTTACCGTGATGGGAAAAAAAAAAAAGAGTATACTTATCATGATGAGCACTGAGTAATGTATAGAATTATTGAATGATTACATTGTATACCTCAATCTAATATAAAACACTGTATGTTAATTAGACTTCAATAAAAAAAATCAAAAACACATTCAAAATACAGATTTAAAGAAGCACTTAAAGAAATAAAAGCAAAATGTTTGCTAAGATCATACCTGTTTCAGGTCAGAATTTTCATTTTTTTCTTTCTCTGCATTTTCAATATTCCCAATTTGTTGTTGAAGTTTTAACCTAAATATCACAACCCAACAAAAAAATATTATTAAGAATCCATAGTTCACATATTTCAATGAATTAGATAATCACATTAGGGTACCCATACTGACACCAGACATTGTGCTTGCAAAGTGGCAGATAAAACAATAAATATTTTGACTTCAGGCAGTTAAGTGTGTTCACATATAACTAAGATGTAACAAATTTCTGCTTTTGCTATGGAAAAATCTACAAACTACTGGCATAGAGAAGATGAGAAATCAAGTATGTCTAAGAAGATGAGAGACTGTTTATATGGACATACAAATCTGATGAGTAGGATTTTGATAAACATAGAGAACAACCTGAACAGATGGCCTTTGGTGGAAGAGTGAACAATGTGTCGCTAAGGCCTCAGAAAGTTGTCCAGTGTGGGAGAAGCCATCTTTATCACCATACAATATTTCATAGCTTTCAGACACACTGCTACTCACTTGCTCCCTACAAGATTATGGAGCTCCTCAGTGTATCTTTTTTTTTTTTTTTTTAAGATTTTATTTATTTATTCATCAGAGACAGAGGCAGAGGGAGAAGCAGGCTCCCCGTGGAGCAGAGAGCGCAATGTGGGACTCGATCCCAGGACCCTGGGATCATGACCTGAGCCGAAGGCAGACGCTTAACCGACTGAGCCACCCAGGCATCCCTCCTCAGTGTATCTTTAATGCCTACTCTGATATAGCTATAGTAGAAGAGGCATTTAATTAAGGCTGATCATTTTTTAAAAATTTTATTTATTTATTTGAGAGAGAGCAGCGAGAGAGAGAGAGAGCACAGAGAGAGAGGAAGAAGCTGACTCCCCGCTGAGCATGGAGCTGACTCAGGGCTCGATCCAAGGACCCCGAGATCATGACCTGAGCTAAAGGCAGATGCTTAACCAACTGAGCCACCCAGTCGCCCCAAGGTCATTTTTTTTTTTTTTTAAAGATTTTATTCATTTATTTTGACAGAGAGAGACACAGCGAGAGAGGGAACACAAGCAGGGGGAGTGGGAGAGGGAGAAGCAGGCCTCCCGCCGAGCAGGGAGCCCAATGCGGGGCTCGATCCCAGGACCCTGGGATCATGACCTGAGCCGAAGGCAGACGCTTAATGACTGAGCCACCCAGGCGCCCCTCATTTTTAACTATAGTAATTTCTCACAATAATTCTATGAAAGTAAGCAGAGTCATTTCAATTTTATAAATAAAGAGATTGAGGCTCAGGCCCAAATCATATTGGTTACCAACCAACCAACTTGGGTCTTCTAACCCAAGTAAGTGTTCCTCTCCCATTTCATTATGCAGCAATTTTAATGATTTTAAGTTCAAAATTTACAAGAAAACTATCTAGTATAAGACACCATAGTATATTTTAAAAAATATAAGCTTTTATCCCTGAAATGAATGTTTATATAATGTGTGTCCTTTTCAAAAGGAATGATACATTTTCAACCAGAACCTTGAAATGTAGAGTATCTCTGGTAACCAAATGACTAACCATATGTGAAAGACTTTAAGCTAAAAGGATATGCCAATATGTGATAGGATATGCCCTTAACCTCTCCCTTTTTAAAATTCCTTAAACACTTATCTGAAATACAAGTCATTTGGCATTTAGTATATATAGTTTGGCATTATTAGCACTTATCAATCCAATTAGAACTGCTTATTGGAAAGACAACAGTCTCAAGAGCCTAGGGCTGTGCTTTAAACCCTAATAAGTATTCAATAAATATTTGTAGATGGACTGAATGACCCAACCCAAATCCTGGGTTAGACATTTAAATGTGTAAGGTGACTGGACAATATGACATGGCAGAAAACAAAGACCCAATGCTTCCTAAAATATTTGCATACAAATGCCAGACACAATGGATCTAAAGGAAAAGGGACGTCTTGCTCTTACTTTCACTCCTTTAACAGTACCAGTCATACTCTTACTTCATAATTCCAACTATATTATTACTCTCTCAAACTTTCTGTGCATTTTAACCTTAAATGTTTATAGATGTTATTAACTTGGTGCTTTTAGATTATGGAGTTAATAAAGGTTTCTTTCTACAAAATCATGACAATACAAACAGAGGACAAAATACTGTGGGTCCCAGCTGAGCTCCAGAGTTAGAAAGTTAGGCCCCAAGTAATTCTTAACTCTGGTCAAGATTTTGGATACACCTGGTAAATCAATTAGAAACAAAATCCTGTTAAGCAAGCAGTGTGCCTAAATGTTTTCTAAATAAGTTATATAGATAAGAAAGGAAACAATGCCCTACAAATAAAAACTGAAGCCAAAGAAACCAATGATAAAGAGTATTTGACTTTCATTAAAATATGAAAGGAGTTAGGACTATTAAAAGAGGACATACAAAGTTTTCTTCAGTTCACTTCACTAAAGCAGTGCAGGGTCAGAATCTACAACTGATATGATGGTTTTTTTAAAAAGAAAATTAGTCCATGATTTGAGATCATTACAGCTAGGCTTATAAGGATAGTGGAATTTAACATAAATAAAAATTAATAGAGCTGATTAGGGTTTAGGAATAAATTCAATGGTCTTAATCTCAGTAACAAAAGTGTTCAGAACAAATTATTTCAAAAGGCAATGCTGCACTTAGGAATAAAGTATAGTATCTCTTTTGGTGAGAAGGTTTTGAATATTTAAGGTATGTCACAACAAATCAAAAGAAAGCAAGTCTTAAAATAGACAGTACAGAATAAAGTGCAATTAACTAACTTTCATTAGGATATCAGTAAAGGCAGGGGCACCTGGGTAGTTCAGTTGGTTAAGCCTCCGACTCTTGATTTCAGCTCAGGTCATGATCTTAGGGTTGTGAGATTGAGCCCTGTGGAGCCTGCTTAAGATTCTCTCTCCCTCTCCCCCACTCCTCTCTCTCTGTCTCAAAAAAAAAAAAAAAAAAAAAAAAAAAAGGCTATCAGTACAGTAAAGGCTACATAAGACAAATGCAATTTGAGCTGGACCTTGAAGGCAAAATAAGAGTTTGGGGTAAAGAAATTAGACACAGATGAAGAAGATAATCAATGAAGTAAGACTCTAGAGAAACAAAAGGGATGGGATTCAGAACTCTTGAGAAGTAAAGGGAGAATGGATATCTTCATTAAAATAGAAAGGGAGGAGAATGGATGAGGATACAGAAATTCTCAGTGAGAAGTTAAGAGAATTTACATCCAGGAGCTTTTGCTCAGACATAAGTGAGAGCACAGCTGAATAGTGGACAAATAGATTCCAAGCTGAATGGGAAACAAGGGAGCCAGGCTGAGACTAGAAGAAGAAAGTATAAGAACTAGTTTCAATATCAATTTGAATATCAAACTGCAGTGTCTTCAGTGAGATTGAAGGGGATAAGAGAAAAAAATTTACGTCTTTGAAATGATCAGTTCTAAGGGATGACAAAGTCCAAGAAATGGCTAAGTGTAGGGTCTGTTAAAGTGGAATAAAGAAAAGAGTACCAGAGAGAAGATAAACTATAAGGCTAAGTTGTTAGATGGGTCAACAATATGAATGGTGCAGTCACAAAGAACAATGACAAAGGATAGAAAATAAAAACAAATTGAGTCAGAAGTCAAGGTCTTCAGCGACTGTTGGGGAACATCTTGTAGGTTAGTCAATGACAGAGAAGAAAATAGGAGTAAGATGGATGCAATGAGTATCAAAAGCAAAACCATTTTAACTCAAGTTAGTCAAACAATTGTCTAGAAGCAAAAGTGGGGTTCATAAACACAGATTTCCTTCTTGGTCCCTAGTTGCAGGAAAGAGGAAGGAAGACTAATTCCACTTAAAAGGGTTGCCAGGACCAGGTCAGGTTTCAGTGAGGGTGTATTTTTTTAAAATGTGGAGACTGCAAAAAAAATTATTGGTAATGGAATAGAGATTTCAGAGATACAGCAAATACTGTTGAAAAGACAGGTTTAATGGGTTGGCCACGAGGAGAAATCAAAAGGTGAAGGATGAGTAAGTTGCCAAATGAGAAACTATGAGATCAAGTACTTTATATTTTTGAAGTAATTACAGAAATAATGGAAGAAGAAATAGTTGATAGACCAGAGGGCCTAGGTACAACAGAGAATGGAACTACAGAAAAGTTTAAACAGAAACAATAGGAATAACAGTGAGATGGAGTCATTCCAAGTTCTCTTCACAGTACAGGTAGCTAATTATGATGATTATTGCCTAGGTTTTCTGTGGCAGGCAGCTCATGTGTGTCATTTCATCATTTAACAAATATTTACTGACTACCTACAAATGCTAAGCCTAGTCCTAAGTGTTACAGATATACCAGAGAATAACAAAAACTGAATTCCTATCCTTAAGAAATTTACAATCCATGGGCGCCTGGGTGGCTCAGTTAGTTAAGCGACTGCCTTCGGCTCAGGTCATGATCCTGGAGTCCCGGGATCGAGTCCCGCATCGGGCTCCCTGCTCGGCAGGGAGTCTGCTTCTCCCTCTGACCTTCCCGCCTCTCATGTGCTCTCTCTCTCTCTCACTCTCTCAAATAAATGAATAAATAAAATCTTAAAAAAAAAAAAAAAGAAATTTACAATCCAATGGTACTATGTGATTAAGTTTTTTTAATGATGGAAATGTTCTATAATTTGTAACACCCAATATGATAGCCACTAGCTAGTTATATGTAGCTACTTCAAATAGTGCACATTTCAAATAGTACAACTGAAGAACTAAATTTTTATTTTTTTAAAATTTTTATTAATTTAAAATTAGATTTAAATAGTTCTGTGTGACTAGTAATACCGTATCAGGCACCCAAGTTCTGATTCTGGCCATTATTAGCAAAAAGAGACTTTCCCGGGAAGGTACGAGACTCACTGAATTAACACCACAACCAGGCTAAAATAATTGACCAGAATCACCAGCAAGGACATACCAAAGAACCATCTGTCCTCCAAATGTTGCCACATATTCTTCTATCACTTACTTTGCAGTTCAAATTCTGGAACAGAACTTGCCCAACTGGCCAAGTATAA